CGTATTAAAAAAATCTCTGCTTATGACGTAGATGACGATATTATCGAAGAAATCCACAAATTTCCCTTTCCAATTCACGGAGGGCGCATACTAAGTTTCATCCATGACGATTTTTGATGGAAAGAAATGCCTTGACATAAATACATACTCATTGCGCATGTTCTCCGGTTATAAGGTACCTTAGGAGAATGACCTAACCAGAATCTAAGTCACGCAGTGCTTGAAAACCTGGATTTCGTGATCTTGTTTGGAATCATTGATGAGTCACGCCAACCGCAGTGAATTATGCGGTTTCTGCGGTTCTATACAAAATTGACATTTTCTTTTTTTGTCATCAGGTTTCCTTTCTTGGATAGCAATATGCGGTATTATTTACCAATTTATCATTCAAGGAAAATTTCTTGCTCCGATTTATAATCATGACAATTTTTTTTAATCAAAGACGATTTACTTCAAAATTCTGAGTGCTTTTCTCACTACTAAGTAGCATTTATATTCGTCACAAATACTTAAATGGATGATTCTTTCGTTTCATCAGGGGATAACTTAATATCGAATACAACAGAGCCTCGTAGTGCTAATATACCTCCTGAAAATTTAAATTCTCAGCATTCTTTAAGTAATAATGTTGAAGATGAAAGAGAAGCCCTGATCCATGGAAGTAAAACGTATTCCGAAACACCATTGCCCAAAATGCCTTTATTCGTGTTAGCAGTGGTTGTTTTCTCCGAACCTCTCAACTTTAGTTTTCTTTTACCATTTGTATATTTCATGGTATGTCAGGATCACGAACTTGAAATCCTTTTAATAATAATAATAATAATAATAATAATATTAATATTAATAATGGTTAATTTCATAAAAGGTACGTGATTTTCACGTGGTCGACGATGAAAAACAGATTGGTAGATACGCAGGTTTAATAGGTAATTAATCATATATCGAGTATTCAGACTTTTTTTCTTTATGGTAATAATTAATTATGTTTTGGTATTTGTTACACAAGCTTCTTCGTTTTATCTTACTCAATTTTGCTTTGCTATTTTTTGGGGTTACATGTCCGACAAGTATGATTCAACTTTTTTTTTTTCCGTAAGTTCAGATATTATATTATGAATAACGCTAATTAAATTGAAACCTCAGGTACGGAAGACGTCCAATACTTTTATTCGGTCTTTCTGGAATTACTATATCGTGTTTATTATTTGGATTAAGTAAGAATTTGGTTTGGGCAATCATAACTCGATCACTTTGTGGGATGTTAAACGTAAATATAAACGTTTTTAGTTAAAAAATTAACTCGGGCCAAGTTTAATTCACTTTTTTTTTATATATTTTATTATTAAATCAGGGGAACGCTGGCGTTGCAAAGAGTATGCTTGGTGAATTGACTGATAAAACGAATCAGGCCAAAGGCTTTTCCGTCTTTGGGTTTTGTTGGGGCCTTGGTGTCATCTGTATGTATGAACTTGATTCCTATCTTTCTTTTGCTATTATTATAATTTAATTTACCCAGATAATTAATGATGTTTGCTGTAAACAGTCGGTCCTATGATAGGGGGATATTTGTCTAATCCCGTAGATAAGTATCCTAACATCTTTGGCAATTGCGCTTTTCTTAAAGAATATCCTTATTTCCTTCCATGTTTAGTGGCCGCTTCTGTTAGTTTTACTGGGCTTATCATAGGATATTTTATGTTGCCGGAAACCCGAAAATTTAAAGTTAAAGATGATGATGATGAGAGCAGAACTCGTCTTATTCCACCCGAACCTAATCCGATCAAGAAATCATATGGTACAGTTGGTCATCGTGATCATACTTTACAAGACGATTGTATCTCTGAATATGGTGATTACGATCCGACAGTTATGCCTTATAATCAGGAACCGATTCCTTTCATCGGGATTTCACTCG